ATATTTACCGTATCTTACTTTATAAAATATATTCGATTAATTATATATTGTGATAAATAATTTTTAATAATTCTTAATGATTGATAATTGAAAATCTGTACACAGACAGAGTTTTCTCTTAGAATTTTTACCATAAAAATCGTGGGACATTATCCAGGTAGAAACCTGCCTCGATTTGCCGAGATTAAATACAGGGCCTAGGTAAACAAATCCAGTTTGAAATATCTGTCTAAGTCCAGAGTACACCCTAGAAATTTACCTTTATTTTATCGAGGAAAAAATAATTGAACAAATCTGCATGAGTTCTAGATTGCCACTGACATATTTTTTTCCTAAATTAGAATAAATATGATTGAATAATCTAGCTTATAGAAATAATTATAATACAAATCAAGCAAATATTTCAACAAATATTTTTCTACAAATTCTGGGTGTAATCTTGAGCCCACCCGGATTCTGCAATAGGGCCTGTGCGATTTAGGCATCCCAAAGTTTATACAGGTTCTAGTTCGATTTTTCACCTGGATTCCAGAAATATGTTTAAAAGAATATATGGAGCCCTGACTATTTCCATACAAAATTTCTAGGTTTTAGTACTGGAAGAATTTTATTAGTTTCTCTGACTAATATTTATACAAAAAAATATTAATATTTACCATAATAAGATATATCTTATTTTATCAAATATATTCGATTAATTTTACTATGTACATAGTAAAATTTAATTATGTATATATTAATTAATATTATAATTAAATATTGTCCCATGATTACTATGTGAATTTTAAAGTAAATTCTAAGAGAAAATTCTCTCCGCGTATATTACATCAAATATGTATGTTGCGATAAATTTACACTTAAAAAACTTGTACAATAAGATTATATATCACAAAGTTAAAAAAATATTTTTAAAATATTATATTTAATATATCAAAAAATTCTAAATTATTGTATTTCGCGTTATATATATATATAGTATTAATCTCTTTGATTACTTTAGTTCCTCGAGCGAAATTTATTAATTTAGATTTTTCTATAGGAATTCGAAGACCCGCAAAAAAATTCTCGCAAATTACCGACGTGACTATTTTTGCCGCTGCACATTTTTCGCACCGGAAACATCGCTTTATATGCGCGATCATAAAATGTCAAAAGCATCAAAGCGGTAGCAATGCGGTATATGTATGTACATGCCAGTTGAATTACCGGCGGCTTTTTGCGCGTTTAAAATGTGGTTAACAAACGGCAAAGACACGGCGAGACGGCAGGAAGTGCGATAACGTCACTCATATATATTGCGAGATATAGGTATTGCCGATCCTAATATTAACATTTATGTGATAGAGTAGTTCTCAAAGTAGCATTATAGTGTAACTCGTATGAAATGGACGTTTAATTCAATTCATTAGCATAATAATTGCACAACACGAAAACAAAACAGGCTTTGAATTTTGCATCAAATTTATTTTTTGTCATAAAAAACAAAAAAGAGTTTCTGTATAGAATATATATTTTATATAATAATAATGTATATAATTATAAAAAATATATAATATATATTAATTATATATTAAATATTAAATATATTATAGATTATATACATAATATATAATATATATTTATTTATTTTTTAATATATAATATATCATTTTTATGAGATAGTCTCTGCTTATATAATCATACAAAAAATCGATCTCTAAAGATAGATACTTATTGATATAATTAAATTTTATAATAATACTTTCCCTCTCCCCAAAAAATATAGAAATTAAAGATCATTTCGTGAAATTTGAAATAAAAATATTTTTTAGCTTTGGCAAAAGCATTACGGTATTGGTACCGGAAACATGTGCAAGCTAGCAGGTTAATCGTAAAAAATGGACAGTGCTGCGAGGGTTTTCCGACTGGGATCTGACCTTTTACCGCTTAGGGTTCGGTATATACGAGGGTCTCGGTAATGGCAGCAATATAATCTGCAGACTTGTCACATGAGAGAAAGAGCGAAAGAGAGGAAAGGAAAGACAGTTGCGATTCTACATCTATACGACCGACGTTAAAAAGAAATAACGCATAGGGGCATGACCGCGTGAATAGTGTCGTACATTGGTAGATTGGAAGATTGTGCTTTAATCACGTCGCTGATATACACACTTGGCCAGAGCAAATCTGATGTGCGTATATATATGTATACGCACATCGAAAAATCCCGGAAGCAATATTTCTCCCGAATGCTACGCAGAGAGAATTTTCTCTTAGACTTCACCCTGAAAATCATATGATAATCGTGGGACAATATTGGTATTGGAAGAATTTTATAAGAGTTTCTCTGATCAAATATCTACCACAATAAATATAAAATATATGTTATATTCGAAATATAATATAAAATAGTAAAATTTACAAATGTGTGTACATATTAATATTTTAAGAAAAATTCTCTCAGTGTATCGATAAATAATTCTGCACACAGATAATCGTGGAACAATATTGGGAGAATTTTATAAGAGTTTCTTTGATTAAAATATTTATCACAATAACAAATATTAATATATATATATACATATTGATATTTTTTATTGTGGTAAATATTTTAATCAGAGAAACTCTTATAAAATTCTCCCAATATTGTTCCACGATTATCTGTGTAATAAAATTTTTGCAATAGGTACCATATTTTCCCACGATTACTATGATTTTCAGGATAAATTCTAACAGAATTTTCTAAGAGAAAATTGTCTGCGTGTATTAATTTTTATAAAATTTTGATATGATAAATTTTGTATAAAAATATTCATAATTATTTATTTTATTTATTCCAAAATAGGTCTCGCATAAGAAAGCGAATATCTTAGCTATCTCAATCCTATTATAAATATTTTTATAAAATTTCGATATGGTCAATATTTTATAAAAATTCCCATAATTAATTGATTGTATTTATTCTGATAGTTTTCATAGAAAAACCTCGCCTAATAAATTTCACGAGATTTCTCTCCCTATACGAGGAAGGTCAAAGGGATCGAGTAAAGCGAAGGAAGGATTAGGAAAGGATCGATTCGTCTAGATATTCGCGATTAAAGGGCGCTATTTATCGGATTAGAGAGTCGCTTGCACTGCTTTGAAGAAGATCGAGGCAACGTTAACGACCTTAAACGACTGTCGTGTAGATTAACGCGAGCGTTTAATTAATCGCGAAAAAAATGCCGACCACGCCGTAAATTGATTTCGAGCCCAAAGTCCTAAGTCTCGCCCTCCTCGCATGTTTCACATTCCAGTGATCAAATTCTGTTTATACTACAATATTATTATTTTAGGAAACATGTCCCGCGAAACACGGAAAATATCTCAAAATCGCGTGTAATCTGCTCCAAGAAATATGATGTCATTTTTTTGCACTTGTTTCTAAAGCATTTTGTGCATTTCTATATTCTTAACGCCAAGAAGATCCTCTTAATTGAAGAAATTTCTCTAAATTTTAGTATATATTTTCTGAAAATAAGAATAAATTAAGAATATATCATTTTAAATTAAGAGGATCCTCTTGGCGCTATTTTTCGGTGATAATATAAGATAATACATGTATTTAATATAAAATAATATTAAAAAATGAAATAAAATTTTTAAATATGCATATATGCGTATATAATTATAATTATAATTGCAATTTATTTTATTAATTTTATTTTAATTTTATATAGTAATATGTATAAAATAATAAAATATATATTATTAATTATTATTATTGACTAAAAACTCTTCTTTCTTATTTGAGACATAATTATTTTATGCTGATCAAATTAAAATACATGTGGTCAATTATATTTCTATTTCAAATATAATTTACTCTGAAAATCATGGTACTCGAAGAACAATATGGAATTGAAAAACTTAAATTTCTTTTTAATTTAAAAAATTTTAAGAGTTTTAAACATATATATTTATAATTATTATAAATATATATATTATTTTATATAAATAATAAATATAATAATATTAAATAAAAATAATAAATGTACATTATTATATAAATATATATTATTTTATATTAAAAATTTTCTACTCCGAATTAAATGTGTATAGAATTCTAACCTATACTAATAGAATGATAATTGAATTTTTACCTGAATAATATAAAATATCTTCTTACTGGATTATGAAAAATAAATTAGCAGTTAGAATCTTAAACTTGCAAAAGTTTCACACAGAGATTTATGCAAGTTTAGATACTCAATTATGGATACTCAAATATTAAAATATGAAAGAAAAACTCTCATTTTTCTCTTGATCTTTATCGAACACTCTTTGTTCTCGTATACTTTATCTTAACTCGACAATGAAAACGCGATAATACATAGATGAGTCACGTTTTCCCAGAATGAAGTACACTTAAAATTACATATGCATATCGTTCTAATTTCCAATGAGCTTCCAGAAAGATGAACGTCAATGCGCGAAGAATCATCATGGCTAATCTTCGTAATTAGCGAGAGATCTTGTCATCGCGATTTAATAACAGATATATACTCACAAGGACTCGAGATGAGACGATGACAGTTCTAAAGACTAAGGAAATCCGTCGAAAATGTGGTCGCGCGAAATCCGGAGCCGGCCTGTCAAGCGCCGACTTTACTACTCGCGCGATCAATGCATGAATGGAGCATGCACTCACGCATGCAAAGTACGCACAAATACACAAACACGCGTCGCCGGCGAGCGAGATCGCGCGGTGTGAACGTTCTCTCGTTCTTGAGACGATCCGGCTCGACCACGAGAAACGACGAAACCGGACACGGAATCGCGCGAGCTATCGCTGTCATCTTGACTTACTCGCGGCCAACTTCACGCGAGTTCTCGCGCGCGCGCTTTTCGCGGCAATTTGACAAGCTCGCGATTCGCGAGAACACATCCCCAAATTTTCCCCGGGAACTCGACGAAGGGAGAAAAAAGTTCGAAAGGGGTGAGAAATCTCTTCCTCCACCACCTCCCTGAAGAAGACTCACCGACGGCGTACTTGGTGGTTTTCGTCGTCGTCCACATCTTCGGGTAGCCGACGACGTGGGGATTCCGTGGCGACGATACTGCGGCAGCTACATGCCACGGCGACGCGTTCGTCCGGGTAGTTGCTTCGTTGCTGCGTCAACAAACGTCACTCCTCGTCCTCGACGACGACGATGGTGCGACGACGACGATGGTGCACCTTCACGAGCGATTCGAAAACACAAACATTGGGTGTGTTTTTGGCCGCACACTGCGTCGCCGACGACGACGACGACGGGATGCCGCCTCCAGCGACGTTGCCGGTACGGGCCGCGAGCCACGACTGACTGACCGGCAACGCCGCCGCCCTCCCTTTGGGCCGCGGCGGCGCGTCACGTGACGCGTCACGTGACGCCTTACGTCAAGTGCACGGCGTACGAAGTGAACTAGATACACCGCGCTATTTAAAATTGGCTTTCTCAAATTTGGAATATATTTATTATTTTATATATATTTCTATTATGTTTATATAATAATATAATTAATATCAAATAACATATATATTAATATAAGATAATATTAAATATATATACATTAATATAAAACAAAATTAAACTAAACCGCGAAAAGAAAGTTACTCCGATACTATCGACGCCTCCGATTGGCTGCGCCACGGCGTACGAAGTGAACTAGATACACCGCGCTATTAAAATTAGCTTTCTCAAATTGGAATATATTTATTATTTTATATATATTTTATTATGTTTATATAATAATATAATTAATATCAAATAACATATATATTAATATAAGATAATATAAATAATATATACATTAATATAAAACAAAATTAAACTAAACCGCGAAAAGAAAGTTACTCCGATACTATCGACGCCTCCGATTGGCTGCGCCACGGCGTACGAAGTGAACTAGATACACCGCGCTATTTAAAATTGGCTTTCTCAAATTTGGAATATATTTATTATTTTATATATATTTTATTATGTTTATATAATAATATAATTAATATCAAATAACATATATATTAATATAAGATAATATTAAATAATATATACATTAATATAAAACAAAATTAAACTAAACCGCGAAAAGAAAGTTACTCCGATACTATCGACGCCTCCGATTGGCTGTGCCATTTTTTCACTAAAAAAGTGACTATATGGGTGAGTTTCCCCTCTAGCTGTCACCGCAACTTGGATAAAGATAAAAATCATTCACAAACGGTTTTCAACGGTCTGCAACAGTGATCGTGTTTGTCACGTTTTGTCCTTCGATCGGCTCGGATCAGCCTCGTGCAGCCTCGGAGGAGGAACCCCGAGCAAGTTGCAGGAACTTTGTTGGAGACAGCAGGATTTAAAGCGCGGAGATAGAACCGACGTCCTCGAAGATGCGACCGGACTCGCGCAGCGTGTCGTTCACGTTTCACCGGGAGGTGCTCAGCGTGCGAAACTCTCCGGAAACGGTGCGAACGTCGCGGAATCTCCGCCAGCGTCTGCAGGACCGATTCGAGAAGGTCGGCGACGCCGGAAAGGAGAAGTCGCCGAAGACGAAGGACGCGGTGGACCGGGCCTGGAACAACATCAGCCTCGGCAACGTGTCCGCGGACTCGAGACGAGCCTTGCGCAACGGCGCCGAGAAGCTGTCCAAGACGATATCCTCTGTACGAACCACCTTTGGCACGATATCCCAGGTGCGATGAAAGATTTCGATTTCATTCTTTATTTTGTGTCGTCATTGTACTTTGTCAGAGATTTTCTAATTATGAGCATTGACAGATCTGAATTATCATCATCCTTAAATTTTTTTTTTTTTTTTTTTTAATTTGTGCATCGAGAGAATTTTTTCTTAGAATTCACCCTGAAAATCATGATAATCGTGGGTATTCTAATATGATATTGGAAGAATTTTATGAGTTTTTCTGATTAATATTTTTCACAATAAAAGATTTTCGTTATGAATTGCATTTCTATTTTGAATATAAACTTTTGACTTCATATAAGATAATTTTCTCTTAGAATTTACTCCAAATAAAGAATAGAAAATGATATTTTTTACTGTGGCAAATATTTAATCAAAGAAACTCAACATTCTTCCAAAATTGTACCAGAATTACCATTGTTAGGGTAAATTCTAAGAGAAAATTCTCTCCCTGTATGAAGTGAAAAAGTTATATTCAAAATAAAAATGCCATTTATTATGTATTTCAATTTGATCAGCATAAAATAACTATGTCTCAAATTAAGAAAAGAGAAGAATTGATTAAAAATTTTGCTTGCAACTAAATAAAATAATGTAAATTCTGAAAGAATAAAGAAAACCTATAATAAAAAAAAAATAAAAAAGAAGGTAGCACACAATTAATACACTTTTTACATCTCCAGAAATTCAGAAGCTCCACGCGCAGACGTCAGAGACTGGAGGAACAACAATCACCGTGCAACATGCAGACACCTCAGACACGTTCCCGCCAGCTCTTAGGACGCACACCGACGAAGCTGTACAGTCCCTTCGGCATCGAGTCGCCGAGACACGCCTGGGACAAGGAAAATGACGTCAACACGCCGATGCGCGCGTCATCACCGGAGTGCAACACACGTTACATAAACTGCAGACCGTTTCGCTTCGCGAAGGCTAAGGGATTCTCCGTGCTGAGATAAGAAGGCTTACAGAAAGGGGCTTCCTCCAACGAAATTGTTAGCGATCTTTCTCTTTACTTCCTAAACGAACGCAGTCGGGATTGCGTGCCTCGTGCAACAACATTTATGTAACGAGATATTATTTATTTGCGTTTAATCGCGAGAGACTCGCCGCGCGTACGAGGCAAACTTCTTTTTTTATATAAGTAGCATTTATATATATATATCGATATGCTAGCGTATCTTCATAATCATTCCACATCGCTTATTTTGCATATATATTTATATATCATGGAAGATTCTATTTCTACTTTTTTATACGTATTTATATATACAATATATATGCCGCGCAATAATATATGCGAAATACACGGCAGGGCAAATATTTGTAAATGACAGCATGTGAGACATCTAACAAGAATCAAAGCGATAATTCAAAATCCCGCGCGAGAATCGTCGGAGAAATATTTCATACGAGACTTTGAAAGATTTTTATGCTACGATATATAGCGCACAAGAAGTAATTTCTTGAATAGGTTTTCTTTATAATACTCAGAAAATGTGTTTTAAATTTGTGATACTTCATAAACTGAGAATATACTAATGACAAGAAAAGAAACAAGAATCGCACAATTTTTGATTAAATTATATCTCGTATATCTATTCCGATGAAATTATGTATAGCAAAATATTCTCAGTTTATGTTTTATTAAGATATATATAAATATATATATATATATATTTAATTATATTCTCGATATAAAACCGCGTACGACATGTGGTTGTTTAAAAAGTGAAATCGTTGCTTAGAACGATGAAAATAAGGCAGCTCCGATGTACTTGGCCTCGATATTATAGCCCTGCTCTCAAGCTACCACATATCTATAATCTAATTTATTTATTGGCACAATAATAACATTTTTACCAAAATCAATTTAGGGGATCTTTCCCGCGCTTTTAGTGATACGCTCCTGAGTCCCTGCTGTCAAAAAATTCCTAATACGCGAGTGCGAGATTACACCTTAAATAAGTTTCTGCTCTCAAGCTACCACATATCTATAATCTAATTTATTTATTGGCACAATAATAACATTTTTATCGAAAGCAATTTAGAGGACCTTTCCCGCGCTTTTTGTGATACGTTCCTGAGTCCCTGCTGTCAAAAAATTCCTACGCAAAATACGCGAGTGATTACACCTTAAATAAGTTTCAGGCGAACCGAATCTCGTTTCGAGTGTTTTAATTTTAACTCGAAAAAAATCTAATAATCATAAATTCGAAATCTAATAATCGAATCAGGGTAACCAAAGTCTTAGTTGCTTGTTTTGCCACCAGAAGGCGACATCTTTCGTGTCGCCATCTTTTTTTCATTCTTGCCTACATTCATGGCGGAAAGAACGTGATCGGACACCACAACGTGACCATTATATATATATATCTATATAAATTTATCTATATATATATATATATATATGTATATATAATAATACATACAGTCATATACGTATAATACGCCTGTGATAGTTATTACATATTATCGTCGTGATCGCGAATTGGCGACAATATTAACAAGTTCCGGCAAATTTTGTGTTCGCGCGGGTTAGTGGCCAAGCAAATCTTGCGGATAAAGGCAGTGTAATTTTGCGCCGTCGATACTCAGGCATGCACCGGGACAGTGCGAGACGCATAAATGCACCCGGAATCTGAGCACGAAGTAGAAGCTGAACTTCCAAGGCCGGTGAGTGCTCGCTGAATCGCGAGACGCAGTTCGATGCGTACTTCACAGCTTTGTCACAGTTTAGATTATATATACACATATACATATCACGTGAAATGTTCCTTTGGCGTGCAGCGTTAAAATGACGCATTTCATATTTTAATAATTAATTGAGAAGGAGCATCTTTAGAGAAAAGCTCGATTCTAGAAGGAGTGAGAGAGAATGATAATGAAGGAAGGAAGAATAAGTAGGGAATTTGCTTTTTGTTGCGAAGTTGTAATACGATCTATCCTTCAGCGAAAATTGATTCGCGCATCTATTTTCGAAGCGTTTATGCACATTTTATTCTACAGCTATAAAATTGCAGTTTTCGCACAACACGTGTCGAGAGAAAATTTTGCAAACGTCATCGTGGACATGGCGTGCAAAAAAAGGAAAGGAAATAAGGGGAAGGGATTATATACTGTCCGGAAATCCTGTTTATTTATTTTGATCTATATTTATATCCGGATAATGTTAAAATGCGAATTACGTCGAGATTTCGGATTTTATCTCTCTCTTGCGCGCGCAAATTGTTTTAAGGGGATGCCGGAGTTTTTTTTTTCCTGTTTTATCGACAAAATGTGAGGTTAGATAAAGTATAAGTTATTCTTTTTATTGGCAGCTTGTACATACAAAATAAGACCAGGCCAGATTTGACATTAGATAAAGGAATATAAGTGAATGTTTAGATATCAATTTGGAAGCTTAGTAAACGAGAATAACTCATCCTACATTTTCGTGCACATAATAACCTCGCGAGGTTAGAATGCAATTTCCTCTCGCGAGACCGCTTTGCAATCGTCGATGCGCGTTCTTCTGTCACGTGATGATATTCTCGGAGTTGCATTTGACGTTTCATTAAAAAAAAAAAAAAAAAATAAAAGTGCGCACTCGTTAAAGAGGATGCATCGAGTGCACGTGAAATTGCGTTATTTCATGTTTCTAGCATCGACTTAGTTAGATGATGAACGAAGTGTGATATCCGTGAGAAATATATGACATAAATATGACAGTTCGTAAAATGTCAAATTAATGGACATGATTTTTTTTCACTCACATGGAGAAAAACTTCGGATGTGATAATTCCGCGATATGACATGACATGACATTTCTCGCCCACGTGTCTGTCATAATGTATTATTCTCTTAATCAGCTGTTCCGTGTTGGAGAGGAATTATGAGGTAAAAAAGAGAGAGAGAAATATGTTGTCGTTTGTATACAAAAATATTATTGACGTTGAGGCAGGGCGTGTTTCCCGCTAAATTTTGGGTGGGGGCGAAAGAGGAATTGCAGCGGGAACGGTGCATTGCAGCGCAATGCAGTGTCCTGTACTGCAACTTGTGCAGATTCCGTTTCTTCTCAACTTGGCAAAGATATAATGCCACGAATTATAAAAGTGTGTCACGCATAACTGCGCACGTTTCGTTGCATCGTTTGACAATTGGAAGTATAAATTAAAAATTGTACACATTATATATGAAAAAAATGACAGATCGCGAGCAAGATGTATAATTGATATATTTTAATCGATAGTCGTTAATCTAAATTTTTTATATATTAATTTGTACACAGAGAGAATTTTCTCTTAGAATTTACTCTGAAAATCAAGGTATTGAACGAATTTTATAAGAGTTTCTGATTAATATTTATACCATAATAAGATATAAAATGTTTGATTAATTTTACTAAAATATAGTAAAATTTCAAGAATTTTAAAATATGTTAAAAATTACGTTGAAAAGTTTTGATTCTTTAAGTGTTATAAATATCTATGTATTTAAAGAATTTGTCCTGAAAATCATGATTTTGGTGGGATAATAAGATATTGAAAGAATTTCACAAGTCTTTCTGATTAAATATTCTACCACAATAAAATATAAAATATATTGTAAATGTAATATAATATAGTAAAATTTACAAATGTATACATATTAATATTTTAAGAAAAATTCTCTCCGTGTATCGATAAATAATTCTGCACACAGATATAATATATAAAAATTCTCTTTTTTTTTCTCTCGTCTTCAAAACGCAAATTGACGAATAAATTTGCAATTTAATTCGTGATCATTCTTACTTGAATTCGTCATCGATAGAAACCATCATTGAAACGGGAGCATGTAAAACGACCTTGCTGGAAAAACAAAAAACGTGCACACACACGAGAGAGAGAGAGAGAGAGAGAGAGAGAGAGAAATAAATAAATAAATAAAAATGACTATCGCGCGATTTTTTGTGACAAGATTTTCGTGCATTTTTCGTGTTGAAAGATCTAGACAACAATTGTGTAAAACTTGAGATATGTTCGCCGTCCCTACGTGGGAAGCTGCTTTAAGGTATTGATAGAGAAAAGACTTTTTGTTATTGGGAAGACCCTTTTTTGTGGTACTTACTGAAATTTAACAGAAAAATCAGCGAGACCAATTTCTTTATAGACTTTAGGTAAAAAAATGATTAAGAAAATGACATTCTGAAAGACGCAAATGAAAAGTAATAATTATGTGTATTCATTCTCGGCGAAAAAATTTCGAAATACAGTATTACTTGTACACAAAGCAGGTTCAAGTTTATTCATATTTGAAAGGGAATAATAACTGAAACTAAGTAGATCTTTTCGTTAAAAGCCAACCTAGAAATCCGAAATAAAAAAATGACAAAATTTTATTAATTCATCTCTCTCAGAGTAGATATCTTTCCTAATAGAAAAATATACTATATATTTACTTATATTATTATAATATATAATATATTATAACTTATAATATATATATTATAATAATATATTAAATATATATATGATATAATATATATATATATATATATATATATACTATAAATATTATTTACTTTGTCTGATTAATAATCGGAGTAAAATCGCGACCGAATTTTCGTTAACTCGAGACGATAGAGAGAGATGAAAATGATTTTACGCACTTATGCGTGCGAAATAGAGCACACAGGCTTATTTCTGACAATCATCTATTTCTTGACATATCACGACAAGGACTTTATTCTTGGCTGGGATTTATGAAATCTACTCCGAGAAAGACACGTGCGGGCGATTAGCTTTTATCAGCATCTCGACGTCGCTCGCGAACGCGGTTTCCGTGTTACCAGGCCTTTAATTTTCTATGCAACGATCGATCTTTTTTGCCCGAGAACTTGGGTGCAAGGAATACAGAATAAAATATGACACGTGCGCGATACAGGAAACGCGTTTAGGGTTTTCTATGGCAGTCGCGTGTTTTGCGACACTCTCGAAAGTGGGACATATTTTGTCACGTAATACGTCTCTTCGTTATAAAGGAAGTAAAAGAAAAAAACACTTCTCGTTCCAGAAACGCTTTAAGATTCGACCCTAATTCGTAAATTGTAACTCCGGAACGTGTAATAAGAAATTGGCATCGGAGATGATTCGCGCGCCAAAATTTTCGAGACACCGATTATATTTCTTCCCGAATACGAAACGCAGAGAGAGAGAAAGAGAGAGAGAGAGATCTCGATATTAATCTGGATAAAAGCTATTTATCTCGCCGAATTTCTCGTCGTTTCTAGGATGATCTTAAAATTGGTAGCACGAATAAGTGACAGATATAAATACGTTTACCTCACGTGCGAAAACGATTAACAATTAGGCAAATTCAAATTAGACCATCAATTTAAAACGGATAAAAGATATAAAGATCGCGAAAAATTACTTTGGATTACGGTATATCTCGATAGCTCTTTATATCGTTTTCGCTTATCGCGAGACCTAGTGAGATAAAAGAAAAGAAGAAAGAAGTCTTTTTAGGTACATCTAAAAGAAATGGATTGTTGGTCTGATAATTGATTTTATGGCGTAATATCGGGAATTGAATTTTATGACGTATTCTTGAATTTTTATTAATATTTATATTATTAAAATTATATTTTATTATATCGTATATATTATTATTAATATTTATATGTTTATGTATCATTAATATATTATTATTTTATACATTATACATAGAGAGAATTTTCTGTTAGAATTTACCCTGAAAATCATCAGTAATCGTGGAATAATATTGAAAGAATTTTATGAGTTTCTTTGATTAATATTTTTATCAAGAAACATTAATATCTACCTTATAAAATATATTTGATTAATTAATCAGAGCACCTCTTACAAAATATCATATAGTCCCATGATTTTCAAGATATATTCTAAAAAAGAAAATTCTCTATATGTATAAAATATATAATTTTTATTATGATGCCTAAAACCTATATTTTCCATTCAAATTATATTGAATTTATTTACTCCGACTTTACTAAAAAAAAAAAATTAATTACACACAAAACATTAAAATAACACATAATAAAAAATTGAATTTAAAAAATTAAAAGAAAATAAATTAGGGAAATTTAGAAAATCGGGCATTGTCAGGGGATTTTATAAAAATCTGGAATTGTCAGAGAAAAAGTCAGGAAATTTTACTATTTATCTGGATTTTTTCATATTATTCTACATTTGTCTCAATAATTGAAATTTTTTATTAAATAAATATAAACTTTTCCTCGACTCCCAGCACGCTAATTTTCTGTGTTGCTAAAAATCGATTCATTTTTACAGCGTGTTTGTTAATTTATATTTTCATCGTCGTGTTATTTTATTTCAATGTGTTTGATAGAGACAAAACTAAAAAAATTGATATAATAAAAAAGATGATTATTTAAATAGTCTATAGTGACATGTTTATTTTGATTATCGTACGTATAATGCAGATTTAACTTCCGAACCTTTTCGTTGTTGACAAAAATATCTCACGGATTTCATGATTTAATTGATTCATCATATAAGTTTTTATAAGAGGTTCTCTGATTAATTAATTAAATATATTTTATATTTTATTGTGATAGATATTAATATTTTTTATCGTGATAAAAATATTAATCTAAGAAATTCATAAAATTCTTTCAATATTGTCCCACGATTACTGATGATTTTCAGGGTAAATTCTAACAGAAAATTCTCTATATACAATACATAAAATAATATATTAATAATATACAAATAAACATATATGCGAATGATACAATTGGCAAAAATAATATTAAAAAATCATGACAAAAATTAATATCCAGTCCTCTCAAAAATCTCAAAAAGGCGGGAAATTTTTTTCACCCTGTTCCAAGGAACCCAAAATATTTTAATATCTAATAAATATACTATATAATAGTAGTATAGATAATATCTAATAAATATACTAATATAATAAATAAACATATATGCGAATGATACATTTGGCACAAATAATATAAAAAATCATGACAAAAATTAATATCCAGTCCTCTCAAAAATCTCAAAAAGGCGGGAAATTTTTTTCACCCTGTTCCAAGGAACCCAAAATATTTTAATATCTAATAAATATACTATATAATAGTAGTATAGATAATATCTAATAAATATACTAATATAATAAATAAACATATATGCGAATGATACAATTGGCCAAAATAATATTAAAAAATCACGACAAAAATTAATATCCAGTCCTCTCAAAAATCTCAAAAAGGCGGGAAATTTTTTTCACCCCGTTCCAAAATATTTTAATATCCTGCCTCCCGGGGAAAAAGTATCCCGCGGACGCCCGTGCCGCGTCGTCGTCAGCCCGCCGCGTTCTAATGGGGCAGCTTGCCGCGTCCTAATGGGGCAGCGTGCCGCGAGAGGGAGAGGGTGTCGGCGGCCGCCGCCGCGAGGCAGGTCAGGGCTGGGGCTCAGTCAGTCGGTTCGCGCGCGGCGGGTCGGACGTGTTTGCGCGGCTCTCCTCCCTCTCTCTCTCGTTCGCGCGCGCGTGCGCACTCGTCGCCGCCGCGTCCGTTGCTGTTGCGCGCGTCGCGCCGCAATTTCGCATATCGCGTCGCGTCGCAGCCGTCGTCGGCCGCGAAAGACACCCGTCCTCTCTCTCTCTCTCTCACACACACACACACACACACTCTCGCTCGCCCACGGGGCCTCTCCCGCGCTCCGCCGAGGAGAAGAGGAGGCCGCGGCGGTTCGAAATTCCCGTTCCGGCGTCCCCCAACCTGAAGAGACGCGGCGTTTAGGGAATCCGTACCTTTCCTTCAGCTTCGCGCCGGCGGAGCGCGGCCGAAGTTGATCCGCGAGTGCGGCATCGCTGGACGGACGCGCGCGCTTACATAATTATTATCCGTCCGGTGTGCATCGGAGCGGCGCGTGACGTGTGACGGGACGCGACGCGACAAGAGACGGCGTCCCTTCCACCGTCGATTACACTAGCTTCGAAGCCTTCGTGTGGTTCCTCGGGTATGTACGCACACTTTTGCAGGGAGATGAATACGTGAGCGCGCGCACACAATATATATATATATATATATATCTGTAATAAATTACCGTAATATATATATATATATATATATGTGTGTGTATATATATATATATATATATATAAGGGAGTTCCCCCTTTCTCGCGTCCCACTTCCTCTCTCTCTCTCTCACTTTTGCTAGCTAACTCCCTACTTTCTCGCTCCGGTCCCTTCCGCCCCTTCCACATTCTACAGCTTGGTCGATTCACGAATCCGCCGGGCCACTCTTCCCCGGGCATCTTCAAAATAAGGCCAAAAGGTTACGTTCCTCGGGGGAACTTTGAAAATTCCAGTTCCCTCCCACCCTTATACTTTCCCGCCTTTGTTTTTATTGTTGGCCTCTCTGTTGATGACGTGACGACGAGGCGCGACGTCGTTGTTTAATAAACGCGACTCGTTTCGTAAACACCAGGCGTGAGAATTCGCGGAAAAATTTTTCTCCCTCCCTCCTCTTTCGTGAACTCGACGTGAATGAACGAGCGCGTAATTCTTGTCGGACGTTGTCGCGGGGCTTTTGACGTATGAATTCCCCGCAGAGGCGCTCAATGAAATTCGATATCGCACGGTGTCATTGCACGACCGCGCGATGATATATATATATATATATACAATTTATTACATATTTTAATATATAAATAAATTAATATTTATTCTCTTGTAATTAAAAAAAATTGAATCTAGAAAATATTGAACACCATGTAGATAATGAGTACATGTGACGTTGAAGTGTTTGGATTAACACATCAAAGTAGGGCAGAGTGTGTATATATATATATATATATATATATATATGTGTATACAATATATTACCACCAACACGACACATTTGTAAGGCGCCAACATTTCTAGCGTTTTTTAAGTTCAAATGCGTGAATATTAATTTTTGCAATACAATTTGTTACACTTATTATAGCCCACTTTGTATGTTTGATTTTTGCCCGCTGTATATGATTCTGTTTTATCCTTACTTGCCTTTGTTTGTTTGTTTCTCACACACAGGTCTGGCATCAAATACATATATATTGCACATTTATTTTCTATTTATTTTGAGACTGCTTAGAGAGAGAAAGAGAGGGAGAGAGAGAAAGAGAGAGAGATGAGAGCGTTCGAAAGCGCAGGCTGGCCTACGAACGTGGCGTACGGGGAAGACATAGTAATGGATTTGTTTATATTTTTTGTATTTGCCGATGATCCCGTCGACGGTTGTTTCAATGGCCGGGCACCAGTTGGAGTATACAACAACAACAATCGCAAGCCCAGCTGCTGGTGGTCGCGCAACAGCAGCAACATCAGCTACAGCAGCAGAAGCAACGTCAGCTGCAGCGAAATCGGATCGTCTCGTCGAATCAGACGTCGTATTTGGGAGGAGGTGACCTGCAACAGGGCCGCAAAATGACGGACCAGCGGGAGCAGCAGCAGCAACAGCCGCAATCTCAAGCTCAGCAGCAACAGCAGCAGCAACAACAGACCAAAGGCCACGATGAGCCTAGAACCAATCTTATCATCAATTACCTTCCGCAAAACATGAACGAGAAGGAGCTTTACAGTCTGTTCGTGACCATTGGACCGGTAGAGTCATGTCGAGTCATGAAAGACTATAAGGTAGGTTGTATACTCGAGCTTGTTCTTGTATTATACGACTTACATGATGCGAGTCTCACTAATTGTAACTTTTTTTTTTTTTTTAATAGACTGGTTATAGTTACGGGTTTGGTTTTGTTAACTATGCGAAAGCCGAGGACGCCGCGACGGCGATAAGCACGTTAAACGGACTTCAAGTGCAAAACAAACGTCTGAAAGTCTCGTTCGCACGGCCTTCTGGGGAAGAAATTAAGGAAACCAATCTCTACGTTACGAATTTACCAAGGTGAAAACAATGTGGTTTCCACGAAATTAATCACAATAATATATAGAAAATTTACCGTACTGCGAAAGTAAACATCGTTTTTCCTTGCAGAAATATCACGGAAAGTCAGATCGACGAAATTTTCAGCAAATTCGGCAACATCGTGCAGAAAAATATATTGAAGGACAAACTGACCGGTTTACCGAGAGGAGTAGCGTTTGTGAGGTGTGTAAGGATGATCATTTTTTGATGATTAAGATCGATTCTTCCATCTTTAAATGTTAATAAGATTTATGTTTACACAGCAATTTATATTCATAAGTGCCGTATTCGTATTTCCTACGTATGCTAAAGAGACAATAAATAGTTTCATGAATAATAAATTTTAATGAAACTACACAAGTAATTTATGTAGGTATATACATATATGTGTATTCGTCAAGTATGCGTATAAATAATATGCGGTATTGCAAATTGGAACAAGTTCAAAACAGCTGTTCGCGGCAATCATATACTACTATATCGTTACACAACATGTATCCGCGCGCGCGTATTTATTTTGCGAAAGTTTCCTGCCAAAGTATTTTTGTACATCTCCTAGTTTCAATTGCATAATTCTGATACGCTCCCTTTAGTTTGACCTAGATAAAACATACGGCTAAACTAAAGATATATACTCTATAATTGTGGGAAATGCATGATTTCTCGCGCGAAATAGAGCTGTTGTAGTTTATGCCAACAGCTGTTGCAGTTTATGCCAACAATAGAGAGATTAACTGTGCTCCGATATTTTTAGAGAGCTCTTTCCAAGTTTTGAAAATTACAAATTATTACATATTTCAATGAAATTATTATTTTTGACAAATGGAAATTGATACATTTTTACATCCCTTTAATGATGCGCATTTGGCATTATCTGACATTTTTCTAATTTGCAGATTCGATAAAAGGGAGGAAGCTCAGGAGGCTATCACGCAGCTTCACGGTACAATACCAGAAGGTGGATCGGAGCCACTTAGCGTAAAAATCGCGGAGGAACACGGGAAACAAAAGGCGGCGTATTATGCGGGCTGGCAAGCCGGATACAATCAAAGCCGTGGTAAGTAATTTTACACATACACATTGCGCGAGAACAGCTGCTCATTAATAGACTTTAATCTCGTTACCTGGCAGTGGTAATCGATAAACATGCGCATTGTTCTCTTTCGTTGGAATTCAAAACTCTCTTAGGAAAACAAAGGTGATAAAAGAGCAGAATTAGCGCTGCCAGGCCGAGTTTGCATTTTTTTCTTTATTTGGCTTTCAACTGAATTCTATGCTAAAATATCTAGTTGAAATGACTTGCATCTCTCATTTTTTTTTAATTGTAATACTGTAATACGATTTACTGTAATACGTCTAGTTTACTTAGGAGAGCACTAATTTCACATTTCGATGTTTACTTGCGATGTTTATTTCCATGTTTTTGATCGAAAAATTCATTATACTTTTATTCTATTTGCCTGTGATGTGTCTTTGGATCGAATACGACTCTGCGTATTCGATTTATCTCGATATTTCTCAGAGATTTGGTAGAGTAGATTTTTCTTTCTTATATATACGGTGCAAAATGCTTTTTTTTCTTTCTCGCGACAAAGTTGTTTGTATCTTCGCGTTATAAAACGTTTTGCATTACGCAGCATTTTTCCCTCGTTTAGATGAGAATCTTTAACTTTATTCGTAGATTGACGAATACGATTGTGACATTTTTAGCATAAGTTGCTATTCATAGATACACACATCGTAGGTTTCTTAAATTTTGTTTTGTTTTTGTTTTCTTTCTTTTGTCATGCTATTTGTCTAACGTTGAAATGTTTTGTTAGATAAGATGGCTGCATCTAAATCAGACCACCACGACTTTCACTAAGCACCTTTTGTGTACACAGAGAAACCGAAAGGGTGTTTATATTCTGACACGTGTTACACACACACACGACCACGTTCAAACGCGGAGAGAGATCTCCGCGAAAACGACTGGAGACACGGTTCCTCGCTCTCGTGTCTCTTATAGACTCCTCTATCTTCGCGCGCGCGCGTGCCCTATTTTCTTTCCAGTTTCTCAAAAAGTCGTGCGCATGACTCGATGTGACAGAAGAGACACCGCTTGGCTCTCGAGCGGTTCTCGTAGAAAGAAAAATTTGAAAAAAAATTTAAGGAAACAGAACACGGAGAAAGAAAACCGCTTAAAGGGACTCGCTCTCTCTATATGTATATATATACTATATCTGCGATCGAGCAAGCAAGAATGCAGTGTTGTGACACCAAGAGTCTTGTGTGTGATCTGGTGACGAGATACGTGAGGTACGGCGTTTTGTGCGGTATATAAACACCTCACCCGGGAGAGACACACAGCTCGTTGCCGCACGGAGAAAAGAAAAAAAAGAAATTGTTCATAGAAACTTTCAGTTTTTTTTTGAATGCTGATTTAGCTGGACCGATTGATTATAACTTAACTTAAAGTTTCGCCTACCTTCTGTTCTTTTCCTAGCTCTGCTGCTATTGTTCGTTTTTTCGCTTGATACTTTGTTGTTAAGAGTAATTCTACTACTGTTGCCCATGTTACAATGTTACCGAGCACACAGTAGCTTCGCGTCCGCCGATATTTTGATATCATGTTTCATATATATGGCTGATGCTCTTTGTGCTTTAGCGTGACTAAGGCGTTGTTTAAGTTTTCTGTACAATATACATTTTGTTATATTATTTCCTATGAAATATATACTTTATTTTCACAAACTTCTGTCTTTCATACGTAACTCTCTTTCTTTCTCTCTCTCTCTCTTTCTCTCTCTCTATTTCTATTTCTCTTCCAATCCCATCTCATTTTTTAAGCAAATCCAGAGCGAGTTAGGCACTTTTTATAAATTATGCGCGTTTTTTAATTATTGTGTTACGGTTGTTTCAAGAAATGTATGTTGTTAAGTTGACTTATAAGTTAAGGTTTTAGATTTTTAAGTTGCAAATTAATTTAGTTTCAATCCTTTATTTGGAAATTAATTGTTAAATCGAGATTATAAAAAAAAAAAGATGAAAATATGAATCTCGCGCAATTGTCTCTAGCGACTTGGCTGTGATTTTATTATTGCGTCTATGCTTTAGTAAAGAATCCAAGTGCATGATGCTCTGTATACCCTTTAATAATCGAGAGCCGTTGTAATGACGCGGCCGCGCGCGAAACGATGAAACTTGTGTGTTGTGAGAGAGAGACCTAATCAATGACGTTTTCATTTCTATGCTTGCCTTGACTCGTGAAGGAGAGCGTCTGTACCCGGCGAGGAATAAATATCAGCGCTATGCTCATTACCTTTATTAAATAGCGAGCGATGTTATCGTTGTTGTGTCGCCGTGTCGTTGAACGTTCCGCACTATATATATATATATATATATATAAGTATACGGTCCTCTTTACGATTGTTGTAATTAAACGAGGATCCACGATCGACAAGAAGGCTCGTGGAACCTGACGAAATTACACGGCCGTGTATTATTACTATTCGCAATGTGTTCTCCATCCAGATGCAGATGTAACTTGTTGTAAAATCGCGCGAGGAACGTTCGCCGCTCGGCGATTCATGTGATAAGAGCAATCTTTTAGCAAAAATTGTTCGCCGAATCGTTGGTTACTTGTATAAATAAATTGTATCGATTTTCGACATTATAATTGTATAGCGTCTCTCTTGTAATTAGGAACAAAGGGTAATTTCCAAATTAAATCTCGTTTTTTTTTTTTTGGTTGAAATATATATATTTCAAATCCGGAGGATATGTAATTTTGATGCGGCAAATTATTTCTTCAATATTAATTAATTTTGTATTCTTTATCAGCGAAACAGAAATTATATACTTATTTTAGAAGCATTAGCTTGTCTTGTAAAAAATCGACAAAATTATTTTTTAAATATCTTTTTTGTGAAGCTTGTAAGACGAAGAAGTTCGAAAAGAGAGATGCGCGAATATAAAATTGCGTTGATAAAATGCAAAATCGATAAAGTCTCCGATATAACTCGCGGACAGTGATTATATCGAAAGTTATATAATACCAAATATACCGCAATATATGATTTTTGCTCAAAATGATCGTAAATTAATCGCAATTATTCGCAGCGAGCCTAAGAAGTTTTACAATTGTATATAAGTCTGTTTTGTAATTTTAAGTCATTGCGATTTTTGTTATTCCGATAACACGATTTAGAATCGTTGCCGATATATTATATAATGAACGTGTAATAATCTAATAGATTTCGACGATACATTTTCTTCGAAATCCTTTTTTGAATTAGTAGATACATGCGATTTTTCGTGCACCGTTGACACGTGCGAATATGCGAAAATACGATCAATCAATCTGTTTAGATTGATTTCAACGATCTAGCGAATCAAAGGTATCGGAGTAGATTCCATCTTTCTGTGTGCTACATAGATAGATATTAATTCTTAACATAAAAAATAATGACACTATCCGCGGCAGATCTTAGCAATTACGTATAGCCGCTACAGTCTGTAAAACGAAAAAAAAAAAAACTACAGATCAAATGAATACTTAACAAACATTCTTTCTCGTAGTAGGAATCGCGATATTTTTAGAATTATTCTGTAGTTCGGAGAAAAAAATACCGTACACGCAATGCTTCCGCAAGTTGAGGATGCGTCAGATTATATGTTCTCGGTGGCAATCTTGAATGAGAAAAAAAATGTGAAACATATATTGATGTAAAATAATTTAAGTAAATATTTAAATGTGTGACAATCGATTTAGCTATGTATCTCAAATTTTTAAACAAGTTTATATTTAAAGAAAAAAAATCTTAGAATAATTCTTATTTAAGAAAGAACTCTAATTTGATCGAGTAAGTGTATACTTCCGGAATTTTTTTCCCAAGATGTTTTCGATTAATATTATTTTTTGTATTCCGATATGTTATATTACTTATACATGGACGCTAAAATTTTGTCTAGAAAACTAGGCACAACGCGCCGTGAAAAGCCAATTAAATTCATGTTGAAGGATTATAAATAGCTAAATCGATTCAACTCGCGAGTGAGCGCGCTCACTATATCTGCATTTCGATATCGTACACCAATTACCGGATATAAAAACACCGATGGAATACCTTTTTCTTCTGTCTGCGACGCGCTACGCCACCGAGTGCATTCGTTCAATACCAGTAGTTAATTAAATGATACACGTGTTGAAAGATATAGAACGAGATATTCGCTCGTTTTTTCGTAGAGAGTAGAACCCTGTCGTCTCGCGTAAACTCTATCGCGGCAGCGAGTAACGATTCTCACTGTTATTAGAATCTTCATCTCTCTTAGGAATCCCGAACGACGCTTTAAAAAAGACCGATCGGGTGGCCAAAGAGAGCCGGCAAAGAGGTGGATACTAAGAGCTAGGAAATAATACATGTGTCCTTGGACCTTGACAATCGTCCATCCTTCATGGATTTATCGCACCACCTTGCCACAATTGCTTACGAAGGAAGAAAATGGGACGCGATCATACTCTAGGCGTTAACGATTTGACAGTTCTGTCACTAAAATTCTATAATTTAAGATCATTTCTCTCTCAATAATGCGTGATTTTTTTATCGCATAGCTTTGTAAAGTAAAATCTGTATGGTAACGAAAAAAGTGATATTAATAATATAAAGTTTTTAATTGTTATATATTGTTATATATTTATAAATCAAAATTGTTATCGGACGCGTGTGTATGTTATATGTTAACATAATTAAAATTTAAGGCTACTTATGCTCGATATTTCGTATAATGACTTTCATCGTACGAGTCAAATGTTGATTGTACATTGTACCTCGTGTCTGATCGCACTCCATTTTTTTCACCTTACCATAGATCGCGCTTATGAGAGAGAGAATGCGTTTTCACCCTTAACTGGTGTTCATCCTTTTGTTAAAAATATTTGCAAACAATATTTCACGCACGATATATTTATTGTGTAAAATTAATTGTACAATTAATGCGGAATTCTTCAAGAACTCGTCAAGAGACTGGCGTGTAAAATTATATGTACATCGTATGAACGTTCCAAAATCGCGGATGACGTCACCAGTTGAGGGATGAAATCCTAAGACGCGATCGAGGACGCGATCCACCTTGCTCAACGTAAGATACTTAGGCGCTTCTCCGTAAGGGCGAACTTCGCGGAGTCGAAACTTTTAGGAATTTATTATATTGCGAGTGCGCCGGGCGTTTGACCCGCTTCGGCTGCTGACCGATCGATCGTCGGGGACAGGTTGCGAACGATGGACTACATTTTTAAACGTCGATGCGTCTGCGGATACGTTTACGTAGTAAAGTATCGAGTATCGCACGGGGCTTGAGAAATTGAAAAATCTGTATGGATCATCTCGATTTTCTCTCGTAGCAAAAATAGTTTTCTCTAACTTTATATAGATTTTTATTTTTGATTAAATTTTGATAATAATTTAGCAAATATATATATATATTGATTTGACAATATTACGTGACATATTAGCATTATAAATATTTGATGTTTAATTTATAGAGAAAATCTTCAATTTTTATTATTATTTAAGAACTGTGAGAGTTGTGAATATATGATTTAATAATAGTCTTCCGACGATCGATCGATCAACGAATCATACGTAATATGTTGCACAGCACGATCGCTGCTATAGATGATAAGAAGATCGATTAAACGTTGAAAATTTAATCAGTAAGTTAGATAAATTAATGTAAGATATCTTTCGATTCATCGCCATGAGAAAAACTTTCGTCGTCTTTCGTTTCTCCAATCTATACAATTAAATGTCTAAATTAACAAAAATCTTACGGATACTTTAATCAGGAAAAATGTATTGCAATAATATTCGAGATATAAAGGAAAATCCATTTTCTATTGATAAAAAAAATCACGAATAGCTATAATATTATTGTATTAATAATTGACAAATCAAAGATTGTAACAAGCAATTACAACGAGATGAGAGATTTGTGATTTTCCTTTGTGTAAATTTGCAATTAGATAAAATGCGACGCAAGCACTCGACATTGTAATCGAAAGATGCGATTGTAAATAGATTTAAATTGTTAAGTAGTAAATTGTAAGGTTTAACGGATCGAAGAATGTGCGAAATGGTTAATCCCGAAGTCCAGTAGTGCTAACGATGGCTGTGATAAGAATAAGAAAAAAAACTAACGAGAATGCAAAGAGAAAAAACAAAACATGCGAAATGAGCGAATTAACGAAAAAACTTATCTTAATCTCTTAATTTAACGTTTAAATTTAAGATTGAAATTAATTTTATACGTATTATTAATATTTCAGTGAAACATGTATACGATATGTCGGCCAACACATCCCGAGATGCTTACTTCTGACAGCGAACTATAGTACAATAAAACAACGTGGTTTTTTTCTGTGATATATTGTTTTTTTTTTTTCTTTTTTTAATTGATAAGACAACATTAATTATTGTTAAATTGATAAATAACACACGGGGTGTTTCAAATTATCGTATTTCTCTTGATTACAAAATGAATACGAAATATATTTCACTTTCTAATTTTCAATACATTATTATTTATTTTTGTATTTTGTACTATTAATAATTTATTGTAAATTCAATTTCCTAAACATTTCAAAAAATAAGAATTCTGAAAAATTATATTTGTTAAATAAAATATAGAATTTTGCTCAAATACTTTAAGTCAACTTTTCATTCATTTATTTATTTTTTTTAATATTAATTAATTTCGCGGTTAATTTTGTAATTATCTAATTATTTATTAATTATCTCTGTCGAAAGAAAGAGCGACAGTTCGCTCGAGGAAAACACCCCGTTCTCTCAAGAGGAGAAATTCGTCCTCTTCGATCTCGCTCGCGACATTCTTGATATATCCATCGTATTTTTCTCTCGTTCACTATAAAATTAAAAATATATTATATATATATATATGTATATATATATAATATATATGATATATACATGTATACATATATATAGTCTACGCAAAAATATCTGAATTAGCGAGAATTAATCGTCCTTAGGCGAATCTAGTATCAGATTAAGGACAATGTTTACAGCAATGCGAGAAATACACACACACACACACACACACACATTATACGTACGTAGCGATAGAGAGAGATACACGCAAAACTATGACACATTATAGCAGTTACAAATCAATGTTCGTATCTCGTTGTACGGATATTTGTATTTAAACGTGTTGAGCATTAAATGTGAATTATTATACCGACGCTTTTTGTGCTGATGATATACGATTGACGATCTCTTGCGCGCGACGTCAAATTATGTGAATTTAATACGCAGGATCAATTAAATTTACTAAAATCGCGTTAAATCGGAAACAATGGCCCTCTCTGTGATACTTTTATACACATTCGTTTTCCACGCAAATTTTTGCGCCATTAAAATTAAGTGCCGGCAAAAATCAGATGTTGCAAATCGAACGTCGCGGAAAGATTTTATATTTTTTTTTTCCTTTTGTACCATTTTTATACACTCTTGACAATCGGGCAAATTGAAGTATGAGTAATGAAGCTTTCTTCGTATTAAAAAAAAAAAAAAAAGAAAGAAAGAAAGAAGAAAGGAAAGAAATCATCAGGACAAAAAGTACGCTCCCGAGGATCGACGTTTCGAGAGAGAGAGAGAGAGAAAAGAAACGTATCGTTAATGATCCTTCGGAGATCTTTCTTAATCAGCATCTTACATCTTTCCTATTCTCGTTACCGCAGCCGCGAGTTTCCTCGCTGCGGTCGCTCGTTAAATTTGATTAAAATACTAGAAACAGACATACCACGTCTAAGTCATTCGCACGACCCTCTGTTTTTCTACTGAATGACGCTTCTCCTTCGTTTTTCTCTAACATTTACCAAAAAAAAAAAAAAAAAAAAAAAAAAAATCGAACCAAAAATGTATAAATTTGTCCTCATATCGATTTTTCTCATCTACAATGAAATATATAACAAAATGATAATATTTCAGCTGTTATTTAAGTGTTATAAAGTATAAATATGAAGTGATTCCAGCGATGACAGCTGTCAAACGAGACTTATTAGACGCAACAGCTGATTTAAGACGAACCCTCAAATCCTAGAGAAAGGACGCGCAGCGCCGGGTATTAGGTTTGAAAAATGGGGCTGCAACCCGGTCTACGTTAGAGAAAAAAAAAAAAATAAAAATAAAAGGAGCAGCGTCACCCCAGGACCACCTTCCGAGAAGCAGTTGCGACCGCTCGCTCTCATCAGGCGTCCTCAATTTTCCAGGCTCGAGCGGCGTCGGGGCCGGCGGACGGGCCCGCGGCATCGGAGGAGGTCCACCCGGGATGGGAGTCAGCGGAGGCGGAGGCGGTGGCGGAGGCGGCGGCGGCGGCCCGGGGATGCTGGGCCGGGCTGGCGGCTTTGGGCCCCGCGGCGGAGGACCTCACGGCGGCGGCGGCGGCTTTCTGGGAGGCAGCGGCGGCGGCGGCGGTCCCGGAGCCATGAGGATGGAGAAGATACACCCGCACCGATTCAACCCGATCGGGATGGGTGGAGGCGGCGGCGGCGGCGGTGGCGGCTACGTGCAGTCGCACTTCTGGTGACCGTCGCGACGTCGAGACGACGACGGCGAGGACGGCGTCACGACGTCGACTGCTGGTTGAGAGGCCGTTCTTCTCGTTATCGAGATAGACCCACGGGGATTATCGTTCGTAGCGGAAAAAAAAAAAAATAAACTGTTGAACTGGGGGTAGACCAGGAGGTAGGTCGAGTAAAACGGGTTTTCGGGGCCAGTTGTAAGCCACAGGGGTGTACTTTAATTGTAAGACGTAACGCGCGACGAGGTAATTCGATGTTAATAGGAATGTTAATAACGATTTTTTTTTTTTATGAATTATTACTGAGAGTCGGATGTTTTTTTACGCTCTAGTATCTTACGGTAATTATTATTATGATTGTTTATGCATGTTTGATTGATAATATTGTTTCAAAGATTCATAGTAACATTTTATTATTAACAAATAGTAAGATTTTATATTATAATCTTATATTTTATATAAAATTATGATATAAAGTTGTATATTATAATACAATTATATTATAATTATGAATATAAAATAATGTAATATAAAATATTATAATATAAATTTATAATTAATAAACTATGTGTAATATAAATATATTTTATATTATAATATTTTATATATAATTTATATTATAATATAAAATTTTATATTATAATTTATATTATATTTTATTTATAATATTAAAATTTGTTATTAGCAATGTTAAGATCGATTACTTTTTTCGCGACAGTTGAAATATAAAATCGGAATATGAATATGTAGTTTTAAGTTTAGATCAGCTGCGCTTTTAATTTACTTGCTATTCAAAAATGTTAACCTTTTCCATAGTGACAAGCAAGTATTCGAAGTTTTCCCCGGTTTTATTCTACCTCATGTGATCGTGAAGCTTGAGAGAAAGAAGAATCTATGTTGTCATTATATATATGTGTCTAATTAAATATTCTTGTTTTCGTAATTACGATAATAACTTAAATGTCCACCTGGATCTATTGCGAATAACGTTTACATTGCTTGCTAATTTAATATGACGTAATAAATTCTCGAAGTCATTTTTTTTTTACTTTGAATTTGTAATATTAAAAGCGTTATTGGATAAATTGTTCCACGGAATTTATATCGACTTTGTGAATAATTTTATACAATTTATAGTGAACGCGATACATTACTCTCTAGTTTCACGATCGCTTGAATGTTGAGCCAAGGTAAAGTAGGTCGTTCCAATTCAGTCAGGACGTTCGGCTTATATTAATATATAAGATAAGCGTTAAACATCAATTCCCCGTTAAACTCACGGATCCTAAGGAGTTCCGGTGAATCGCATTGGACAGAAAAACTATAAGAATTTTACGTATTGTTGTAAATTTCATTTTTTTTTAATGGTTCTAACTTGAAACTTTATGAAATGTTCAATCATACAAAAATATTCTATCATAAATCGGGGGGAAAAAGTTTCCCGTTCGATGCGGCTCTGGATATCGGTGGGATTCTGCGACGAACGAAAATTTGTACAAAAAAAAATTGTGAAATATGTTTTTCTTTCATTTTTTTGTGTTTTTTTTTAATAATTTAGACGCGGCTCTCAATTACACAAAGTCCTTTCAGGAAAATCCAATACCTGTAAGCGAGTTATATGCCTAGCCTATATACAATATATACGTATATGTCAGACATATCTATATGCATATATGTATAGACTTGTCATATAAAAGGGACGGAAGGTAAACGCCAAAATTAAAGCTTCGAAATATATTCTTTTATTAAATAATATTTATAATTACATTGTGAATAAAAAAATATAACAGCTTAGTATTTTTATTTCAAAAATATGTGATTTTTATTTAATACAATTACAATATAAATTTTGACAATCAAACGCCCACAGATCTCCATTTTAATGTTAATTATATATTGTAATGTTAATTAGTATATTTTTAGGTATTGGATCTTCTCAAAAAATAAGCATACGCATCGCGACCTATGATCAAATTCTAAATATGCTCCAGTTCGTCACTGGACAAAGAATATGCGATTCGAATGCCGTAGTTAATTTAGATTAAGCGAATTTTTAAGCACGTTGTCGCGCGGAAGAACAGGGTGAATGTAATTTATTTTAATATTTGAGAGCAGTATTAAAGGGAGATCGCGTATTCTTTCGCAGTCCTGTAAACGAATTGGGCACACGTCGCATGGTGTATTTAATTTCATCTGATCCTTCAGTGACGTTTTACGAGATTCGTAATGTTGCTGGAGAGAGAGAGAGAAAGAGAGAGTGAGAAAAAATTATTTTAAAATATTTATGTAAAGCCGTAAAAAAGAAGCAACTTGGAATAAATACCATTAGCAACTATACATTTAGCTTTTGTCAATTGATCGTATACTTATATATACATCTCTCGGTTTTTCTTAGTCATTTTTATCTAATAATTAATTTTAATATTTGATGTAGCAGAAATGCAGAAACTTTCTCGGAATTGATATTCAAAATTTTGTATGTACTTAAGATCTGATTGATAAGCGTAACGGAAATTAGCACCAGTGAATCTCGAGAAGCGTTCGATTCTTGGAACATTTAATATTTAATTAATCGCCATCGTTATCCTCGTCGTCAGTGGTGTATATAGCCGTGTAGGAAAACTCGACACTATCGCGACCTTATATAGACAATGAGACTGATTTTTTATAGTGGACAAATTTTAAGCGGGTATACGTTGGAGTCGCGTGTCTTATTTTTAGCTAAAATGAAAAAAAGAATAATAAAAGCTGTACTTGTGTTCCGAACCTGTGCGACAGGTTTCAAGAACAGCGCGAATTGTCTATAAAAATCTGTGATTTGTACAAAGGAGAGTAAATGAGAGAGAAATCAGTCATTGTAGAGAGGATACAAATATCGTATTTTACACTACATCTCTAAATGCAACGGGAATAAAAATCTGAAGCAATAAAAAAAAAAAAGAAGAGCCATATCGCTCTACAGATGAATTCTCTAATTAACGTTAATTTGTGTATAAGATTGTGCAGAATTTCAACTTTGCAATCATCAATTCTCATAAACAGATACAATTAAATCACATGTTGCTTTTATCTTATTGTTAGACATTATTTAGTAACGTTCTTAAAAGTTACCTCAATATATAATTAATTATATATCTATATTATATATATTATATTAATATTGTCACACATACATCAAAGTTAAATAATGTATAGCTATAGCTATACACGTCGCAGGCAAAGTAGCATAATTTATATCTTATCATATTAGTATAATTATCATTTTTACGAGAGAAATATGTATGTGTATGCAAATCGCTGAGACTTGTGTAATTATTAAGAATTCATTACGTTATAATGAAGGAATGGAATAAGACGATATATAATAATCGATTTAGAATGGTAACAAGAAAAGATTTGTAACGAGTATAATCGTGTCGCTTTTGCGACACGATAATCGGTACGTTACAAAAATTTGGAACAACATACGCATTAGCACAATTTATAAAATCATAACATGCATAGAAAAAAAAATCATAACACGAATATCGAATTCTTGATTTTAACGAGAAAACGTTTAATTAACACTCCTACGTAAAATTGTTATGTCGCACCAATATGGATGTGTATCGAACAATTTAATAAAAAATACTGTCCGCTAAGAGAATTTTCTACAGCGAATATCTTACGAAACTTACCATGGAAATTTTATATTTTTATTTGAAGGTAGTTAATGTAATTTAAAATGTTTTATTTGAAGGTAGAGCGTTAATGTAATTTAAAATGTGGGTTTGTAAATCTAAAGAGACGATTACAGGAGTGTCGGCATGGAAAAAATATTGTTGGAAAATATTTTATTAATTATTTATAACCGCATAAAAAAGAGAGAATGCGCGAATGGTGATATACAAAAAAATACAAATTTTCCTCATTTATCTGATCTTAAGACGTCCTATTTTAATTAATATTTAAAAAGAAAATGTAAAGTGTATAAAATCCCAGCAAACACAGTATATAAATGTTATATACTTAAGCATGTTACATGTAACGTATACGAGTATGTTAGTTGTAATTTCTCACTCATAGATGTAACATTTTTAATATTACATATATTACATTGTAGTTATATTGTCATTATATCCCAAGATAGCACTGACCTATCAATACATCAATGTGCTATTTGGTATATAATTACAATATAACTACAATGTAATATATGTTATATTAAAATGTTACATCTATGAGTAGGAAATTACAACTAACATGGATGTTACATGTAACGTACACGTTATATTACCTGTTATATTCCGTTTTATTATACCAATGTAACAATTATATATCGGTGTTTGCTGGGATTGTTTTTACGAGTTTTAGTTAGTACTTGATAGAAATTTTTCACCATAATTCCACGGATGAATACGATCGATCACGGTGTCGCCCTTCTGTAGGCAGCTCGCATTAAAAAAAAGCGTAGTGCCTAAAGACGAGCCGCAACGTAATCGTCCGTTGATATCTTCTTTCGATAATATGAAAGATCTTCTTCGTGCAGCCACCATCTGTTTACAATCAAGATGCTGAAGAAAAGACACGAACAAACTTTGACAGATCTCACGGTCAGCTAGAATAATAATTATTAGGTCTCTTTCTCGAATCGCACGCGTATCCTTTCAATGTTTTATTATTGCCAAACTTATTTTTATATACTTATTTACAGAAAAAAATCCAGCTTTGTCATATGATCAGTCGTAATCAAATACAAAAGTCAAAAGTGTGGACATCCTTTGCAGGGTTTCCTCTTCAGGTATATAAACTATCTTGTTAAGACTTGATTGTTAGACAAGAACTCTCTGGTTGTTAATATAACATCACCATTGCTTCATATTATAAAAAAATTATTGTAATTATATATGTTAAATAATATGAATATTTATATTATATTAAGAATGTTAATTGTGAAACATTATTTGTAAAAATTACTCTTAAATTACAAATCGCAATTTTCTTGCATTAGCATATGTATGTCTTGTTAAAAATTTCACAATTCAGTTCACTATATTTCACAATTAACATTCACGCGGTGTTTTTTACAATAATTTATACATTCTTTAAAAATGTAACTTTTTCCTCGTAATTTAGTATAATGATATGTATAATAATTGCATTCTAGGACGGCCATTTACTTTCTATCGCGAATATTTCACCTTTCAAGCAGAACAGTGCGATCTCCACTGGTAGATTATGCCAAGTCGCACTTTGATTAACATTATTCGAGATTATCACAATTTTCCGGACTCGAAAAAGGGAGAAGACCCTGACGGAAAATCGTCGCGAGCGACAGAAGGCGCGAACTGACGATTTCCAAGTTTGTACGGAGAACTTTATAACAAACGAGATGATTTCCACCCACAGGATGTTGCGGCCTAGAGATTAGCCAAGCAAGCTCGTGAAGAGGAAACAGGAAGGGGCGGATAGACCGAGATATCATCTTTGTGAGTTTATCCTGAAGAACACAGTATTCTCTCTTTAAAAGAAAAAAACTCATACATGCCATATAATTTTTTTAATAATAACTTTTTTTTTTAGGTAATTATATTTAATATAGGATAGGATAGGAAGAATAGTTAAAAAAATTTTTTTTTTTTAAATGACATTTGTAGAAAAAAATTACGACAGAAAATTAACAGAATCTCTCTTTTCTCTTGCTCCAAAAAAAAACTCATACATGCCATATAATTTTTTTAACAATAACTATTTTTTTCCAGGTAATTATATTTAATATAGGATAGGATAGGAAGAATAGTTTTAAAAATTTTTTTTTTAAATGACATTGTAGAAAAAAATTACGACAGAAAATTAACAGAATCTCTCTTTTTCTCTTGCTCCAAAAAAAAACTCATACATGCCATATAATTTTTTTAACAATAACTATTTTTTTTCCAGGTAATTATATTTAATATAGGATAGGATAGGAAGAATAGTTTTAAAATTATTTTTTTTTTAAATGACATTTGTAGAAAAAAATTACGACAGAAAATTAACAGAATCTCTCTTTTTCTCTTGCTCCGAAATTTCGTCCACTATTGTCGAAAGGGTCTCATTCGGTTCGTTTTCTCTGACCTATGATTTTTTTTTATGTTCTTTCCCAACCGTCGTTCCCATCGTGTTGAAGCAGCTAGAATACTCCCCAGGAAATGCAGCGAGACGTTTCGTACAAATTGCGCGCATCTGTTCCACGTGTGTTTCATATCGCATTAGGCGCGATTAAGGCTCGACGTAGTCGTACAAAATTATTCATCAGCGTCAGAATTTACAAAGAGATATTCTTCGCCTGTTACATTAAATTAAAATCAATTGGACAACAATTAATTTTTAAATAAAATTGTAATATGTGTATTTGTGATGGTATTAATTAATTTATGCAAGCTCTTCTATAAATTAGACATTACGATTTCATTGATCATTAGATCGGATTTATTTCTTCTGGAATTATTAATTCATTCTTTACGTCGGACGCGTAATAATATATAAAAATAAAATTAATTATTAAATTTGTTGGATAAGCATATCATTTAAATTTTATATTTCTCTACTAAAATCACCGATTCTATAACAGAAAAAAAACGTAAATTGAACCGCTACTTCCGGCCGCAAACCTCTTTCCAAGTTTACTGATAGAAATTCTTATCTCTATACAGTCGTTTGTTATTTTAGCTGTTTCAGGGTGACAAAAAATATGGGAAAAAAGGGAAAATACTTAGAAATGCAACTCGTGAGAATAATCTCAGGCTTGTAATATTTATTTCGGAGTAAGATCAGTCTACGAATTTTGATTAAATAATAATAGTCGATTAAATAAATTTTGTTCGCGCAAATTAACACATTTTATCTCCTCAGATTTTTTTATTTCACATTTAGAGCGAAAATAAATGGAAAATTTCGATAAATAAAATTTGCTCCGGATTCACGATCGACAAAATCAATTGTTGTTTCGATTGAAATTAATATCTCGTGTTTTACACATACACAAGAGAATTGTCTCTTAAAATTAGGGACAATATATGGTATTGAAAGGATTTTATAAGAATTTCTTTGATTAATATTTACCACAATTAAAAAATATTAATTCTTCTCACGGTAAGATATAAAATATATTCGATTAATTTACTATGTATATATTAATATTTTTTATTGTGGTAAATTAATAACTAGAAGCTTATAAAGCTCTTCCATACATAGAAAAATAAATTGTTAAGATGACTAAATCTTTCAACCACTAATTACTATTTTGTTAATTGAACATAATTAATATTGTAAGTCAAATATACGTTTTGTAAGATTTAATATGTTACATTTAACTTAAATATTTTTATATATTTTTTAATATTTTTAAATATTTATATATATATATTTTTAAATATTTTTATATGTCCAGTTAAAATAATATTTAGTTGAAAATTAGTCAAGTTAAAAATGATTTTCAGTGCACCATATTGCTCCACGATTTTCAGACTAAATTCCAACAATATGAGAGAAAACTCTCCAAGTAGAATGCCCTGTGTATGTAAAGTCGGAGCTCTTTGCAGCGTCGAATTTGCCATTACAATTTCTGATTAGTGCGATAGGGGTCAGTCGTTCGGAGCAAAGAGAGAGAAGTCGAAGCGCATTGTTGGGATGACTCATCACGGGTGCGCATTTTAGTTTATTTTCCTTGTGACCGAATCAACGCGACTCCCAGCGATACCGCCGCCGCTTTTTTTCGTCTTCTTTGAGGTCACGTTTTTTTAATGCTCGTTTACGCAACCACGCCGCCCGATAAAACGCGCTCCCCCAATTCAATTCATTCACGCGCGCCGATCATGGACGGCGATACTTTTGGCCCGAATCCTGTTACAATGAAAGATAGAGAGGAACATAATGAAACACATATACATATTTCATAAATGTAAATATAAATGATCTAGACCCCTTTCCCGCGTATTTTATGCGAAGATGGCTTTGAATTTACAGCCGAGTTTTGCGTATATTATATTATACGTGCTTTTTTAGATCGTGTTTCATTTGAAACGGAGAAAAAATGAAAACAAATATATAATAAATGTAAAAAAAAATTAAATTTAAAGTTACTTTACATAAATCCATCATTGAAATATATAATTAAAACGTTTTTCGCTTAATTTGAAAATTTGAAATGAAGGAAAAATATTAGATCGCACGAGAGGAAAAAGGAATGAAATTTAATTATTAATAAATTCATTAAATTTAAATCCCTCGAAAAATAAGCACATCTCGATGAAAAATTATTACTCAAAGAAAAGACTATAAAAAAAATAGTGATATTAAAAGGAGAAAACTTGTTGCAGCAAATCGAAGAGAAAATTCAAGTCGTGGTCCACCGAAGCGTTGCTCCAATCGTCGAAGAAGAAAACTTGCATCACACAAGATAGCCGGTATATGACGACACCCGGTATATGACGTATGCATCCTCCTGCGAAAGGAAGATACTCGTTTCCGGCGCGATACTAGCGAGAAACCATCGATTACGGTAAGAATCTTTTTTTTTTTTTTCCAATAACTATTTTATATAATAGACCAACTTTTTTTCTAACAACAAACCGCGACGTTTCAGAGCGTTTTCTCTGGGACCGACGACCGCCGTACGCGGCATCCTGAGGGCGACTGGACGAGCGGATTTGCGGACCGTCACCGCTCGGGTACGAGGCATGAGAAAAAGGGAGAGAGTGAGGGACAGAAAACGGGCGCACACACGTGGTGTGTCCATGGGCGCAGCCCAGGAATTTTATGGGACCCTAGTTGTAAGGGGACCAGCTGGAAATTTCCTTCAACTCTGTGTGAATCGCCGACCGTATAAATCGCAACGAGAAAAAGGGAATAATGTTACAAAAGAAGTTCAATTTGACCATTTATTTATTTAAGAGAGCTTTACGCGGTGGAAAAAAACCAAGTATCTTATATTAAATATTTAATGTGGCAAATTTGTGTAAATTACATGAAAATATGAATATTTATTTTTTTTTTATTATGTAGATTTTATTTATAAAATTTATATTTATATATTAGTGCAATATGGCAGAAGCTAACGTCGGAGATACAATTTTCGTAAAGGTGAGCTCTGGTGCCCGTGGAAGGGATCGAAGCAGGGTCAAAGAGCACTGTCCTGCGGCACGAGGGGACATGATGGAATTTGCATTTCCTGTCTACGATGAATAATTCCGGGCGAGATCGGCCGTGATGGTCGCGCACGTTTTCGAATTAGGCCCCCACGTGTACTCGAAATTGAGGCCGAAATAAGCCTATTATGAAAAATGACTCTTCTGACATATTCATCATCAATTCTCACTTATATTGTGAAAAATTAAAATCCAGATTGTTATTCTAGCGAAAAAATCATTTTTTAAAGAATGTAACGAAAAAATTATATACAAATTTTAATGATAAAAGTACAAAAAAAAAGGAGAAAAAAATATTCAAGCGTTCTCCATTGAATGTAACGTAAACTGGATATTACAAACGACGTTGTAAAGAAAATCCACGTTCGGAGGACGAAGGGCCCCGACGTTTCTACACGAGAAGGGTGGCTGGCTTCCCGGGGTGAAGAAATAAGAAAGACAAGAGCGGTGATGGAAGGGAGAAAAGGTGGTATTTGGGAGAACAGCTGTTCCTCGCTGATGCGCACCTACACAGGGAGGAGCCCTCACAAGCGGACCCTTTCACGGCTCTCCTCGCTCAGGTATGTACGTGCAACACGTGTCGCGCCCGCGTTGCACTTGGGGAACAAGCCGCCGCTCCCGATGACTCATATACGGGGTACAATACGCGATACGCTTCGCACATGAAGGCACGAAGCAACGGGGCCCACTGTGACCTCCGGGGCCATTCAAGATATATACACAGTGACGCATTTCTGACGCGTCTCCGGCGAGGCCCTTCAGAATTTTCTGTACAGAAATAAATTCAACAGAAAGTTATTTTCAGGGTTGGCTAATAACTACACAGGGAGATTTTTCCTAAAATTTACCCTGAAAATCATGCTAATCGTGGGACAATATATGGTATTGGAGGCATTTTATAAGAGTTTTTCTGATTAATATTTACCACAATAGAAAATATACTCGATTAATTTTATTATGTATATATTAGTATTTTTTATTGTCGTAAATATTAATCAGAGAAAATTAATAAAATAACTTATAAAATTCTTCCAACACCATATTATTATCCCACGATTACCATGATTTTCAGGGTAAATTCTAAGAGAAAATTCTCCGTGTAGTTAAAAAAAAAAAAAATAACTTTTAACTTAGCTTAGTTAATTTAAAATGTCATAATTTTTAACTTCAACTAATTATTTTTGACAAATTTTTGATTAACTTTTTTCCTAACAATAAGTTAAATTCTTTTATGTCTGAATACTATTATTGTTTTTTTATAAGTTATAAACATATTATTTTTAAATTAAAGTATTATTAATTTTTATATTCATTCGTCATTAATTGTAATCACCAAAAATATATTTTTGTATAAAAATCAACATTATTTCTTTGTTATTTGTTATTATAAATTTTAAAAGAATTAACAAATAATATTCTAATTTAATATAAATAATGTTTTTAAAAATTAACTTTCGAGATTTAACTTCAGTTAATTTAATCTTAACTTAACATTTATTTTATTATAGCTTTATAATATAAGCGGCGTTATATTAGCTTTATATATATTTTTTATTGCGATTATAGATTACAATAGAAGATTCACGATGATTTCAGACACATAGAGGGATCTAACTTAAAAGATATCCTGTGTGTATATTTTCACGATTAAATATGTTTACATATATAATTTATATTTCGTTGAACGTATAAAAATATATAATAATTCTTCTTACTTTTTGCAACATTTTTTAACACACTTCTTACACTCATGCATCGGTGTTAGTTTCAAATGACTGTTTGCCTTCGATTGGAATAAATCTTACACGAACCGGATGAGAAGGACGAATTATTAAATCAAACTTCAACTGGACATCTTTTAAATAATCAATGGGTTCCAAGTAAAAATTGTGCACTAAAGGCGCTATCATAGCTTTTAACTCCAGCAGACCGAATCGTTGACCTGTAAAAGAAAGTATGAAAAATAATAAAAATTCATTCATTCATCGATACGAAATTCGTGTTCAATTTACCTATGCAATTCCTAGGTCCTGCGCTGAAGGGTACATAAGAATAAGGATGACGATTTTGAATTCTCTCCGGCAAAAATCTATCCGGATTAAATTTTTCTGGATTTGGCCAAAAATTGGGATCTCTGTGAATCGCGTAAATATGAACATGTAGCATCGTTCCGGCAGGCACGACATATGATTCTAAAAAGAAAATTATAAAATTAATTGCGATTTGCAAAAAGAAAATTTTTTTGGAAAAATAAATGCACATTTGTGATTGTATCCTTAAAATGTAAAAGCAATTTACTTAAACATTATTTTAAACTTATTTTGTATTTGATAATATTCTCTGTGTATTGTGACAAATCCGAAGATATATCCCATACAACACAAAATATTTTTAAAATCTTTTAAAAGTATTTCTTAAAAGATAAAATAATTTTTGAAAATATTTTTAAAATGTTATTCGTTTCCATGTCCGCTTTTTCATGTTTAAAAATATTTTCAGAAATATTTTGGAATATAGATTTAAACTAATATTTCAAAAATATGTATCAAATATTTAAGAAAATATTATTTGAGCGATAAAGAATTAAGAACATTTAAAAAAAATATTTTTAAAAGTTTTTTAAAATATTCTAAAAAATTTTATCACAAAAAATTTTTAAATCGTTTTAAAATATTCTTAAAATCATTTTAAAATGATTTATGCAATATTTTATAGAAATATTTAGAAATATTTTTTGTAAAAACATTCATAATATTTTGTGCTGTATGGGTAATGTGAGGAAAAAAAGATTAATTACGTAATTTTATGTCCTTCCCAGCATTGCGTGATATTAAAAACACACTCGGATACAAACGTAGCGTTTCCTTTAAACATCTGTCTAAATATGATAAATTTTGCAACGATCTCATAGTAAGTTTCCCTCCGTTCTCTTGCATCACAGTTTCAACTTCAGCCCTCACACGTTCCTATATATCGATAATAATTAAAATTTATATCTTCGAAATATATCAATATAATATTTCGGAATATATCAATATAAGAGAAAAATACTCTAAAAATACAAAAGCTTGATATATTTTACTTTCGATATGAATCGCATAAAAATAATAAGTATATCGTAATATATTGAAAGAAAAATTACCTGGACATCTTTATGCTCAGCTAATAATAATAAAGCAAAAGTTATAGCCATCGCTGTAGTATCATGACCCTGTAATTAATGTGCATGATTATGCGTAAAAAAAACTTATTAATTATTTCAAATACGTACTTCGAACATAAATGTATCGATTTCTTCTCTGATATCGAAATCTGTCAAAGAACCTTCTCGAGATGCCATTATTAATAGATCCAGCATAGCTAATCGCTTTTTTTTAACTAGAAATAAAGAAGCATAGCTCATTTTTGCATATCTCACTCTAATTATTTAATATCATTATTTATTAAATAATGTTTCAAATAGTTTAATTTTATGACAGACGTATGTTGCATTATTATGCATTTAATATAAATTTTACACGCAGAATTTATAATATTTAGATTACGCGGTGAAACTTTAATTAGAATTCCTCATTAAACTCTTACGTACATCCGAACATTTCTGCATCAATTGTCTCTGCTTCTTTGTCACTTTCAAGATTTTTCAAGTATCGATCATTGGTGCGTTCGTGGTAAAGTTTTCTCTCCGCGATGATCTACACGATATTAAATTTCTGTATTAATTAACAGTCTTATAATGAGCTATTAATATTTATGATTAATTGTATAACCTTGCGGCACAAAGATTGGGAAATTTATCGTAATTTTACATAAAGGAAAGAGTATCAAAAAATCTTAATTAACGTGCTTTATAACGTACTTTTTCCGTAAATCCGTGTAATATTTTCAAAATCTTTTTTTGCTTCCTTCCTTGTGGCGTCAATGCAAATAACAAATTGTTATGGAACCATGGACTCAGTAATCTTAATTTCAGGATTAAATAACTTCAATAATGATATCTTAAAAAAGCTTTAAAACTATAGAAACTCTTAGAATAATCATAGATTCTTTAAATAATTATAGATTATAGAGAATATATAACTAAAAAAAATTTATGACGAAACTATGCAAACTCTTTTGAAAAAACACTGTACTTCTTTTATAGAAAATATCTTTAATGAAACATGATTTATTTTCAGATTTTAGTTCATTTTATTTAATTTTCCAATAATCTAACAATTTAATAATTTTTTAAATATTTTCAAGATTGCAAACATTTCTATTTTAAAATTTAGCCAAGCCATATATATATATATATATATATATATATATATATATAACTCAAAGTATATATGTATATATTATAATCATAATTCGAAGGATTATAAATATACGTGTACACAATTATTTTTTTCGTATTTATAAATTACCTATAAACTAGTACTTCGATTATCTCGTGAATCGCACTTCGATATTGTTGTTGAGATTTGTCAAGTTTTTGCAGAGAGATACCCATAGCTGTTTCTATATGCGCATTTGATATAAGATCGAAAATAAATTAAAATTTATAAATAAAAATTACAATAAATATAAATATAATTAAATTAAAAATAAATTAATTAATTAAATAATAAATAAATAATTTATTAAATAATAAATAAATAAATAAAAAATTTAATTAATATATGTATATAAATTAAAATAAAAAATAAATTATAATTTTTTCTTTTTATTCGAGACAATAAAAATCTTACCACATATCGCGTTTAGCGTATGTTCGCTAGTAAACGGTATTAAATCTTTAACAACTGTTTCTCCAACATCCTTCAAAGATTTTGTCATGCAATCGCCTTCTTTGATTAATATTT